AAACTTGCTGAGGGTGCACTCGATTCCGTCATCGATGTCATTGATAAAGATGTTAAAGAGCACCGGTCCCGAGACAGACCCCTGGGGGACGCCGCTCATTACCAGCCTCCACCTGGACATAGAGCCATTGATGACCACCCTCTGTCTGTGGCCTTTCAACCAGTTTCTTATCCATCGAGTGCTCCATCCATCAAATCCACATCTCTCCAGTTTGGAGAGAAGGATGTGGTGGGGGACCATGTCAAAGGCCTTGCTCAAGTCCAGGTAAATGACATCGGTCGCCTTTCCCTTGTCCACCGATGCCATCACTCCATGATAGAAGGCCACCAGATTGGTCAAGCATGACCTTCCCCTGGTGAAGCCATGCTGGCTGTCATGGATCACACGCCCTTTCCTCATGTGATCAAGCATGTCATCCAGGATGACCTGTTCCACGATCTTCCCAGGCACAGAGGTTAGACAGTGTTATTAAATCTAGCAGCAGTTACTTTGACTCTCCTTATCCTATGGCAAACATATTGCCTACATCCCTATATATCTGATTTAACTGCATATTAAACATTCAATTATATGGATGCTTCAGTATGCAGAGAGTTGGAGGAAACATTACTAGAAAGCTGGTTTCCCAGCAGGGATACACCACTCCAGCACATCTAAGAAGTGTGCATGTGTACATAGTCACAGCTCAGACGCAACTTGCAGAATGATTGTTTTACATGTGACACTATAAGACCCCATTTCAGTCATGTAACATCGAGCATTTATATATTATACTTAGTAGAAAGCACATGCCTTGAATTACCTCCATGTTGAGAGGCTGGACCAAAACCAGTAAAAATAAATTGTCATTGTAGGGTGGGAATTCACTTGATCTGAGATCTCCATCATAGTCTTGACTCAGTGACAAAGTAACAGTCACATCAGAAGATCTACAGGCCCAAGAATAAATAGGGCTTAAATAGGGCTCAGAAATGCTAGATGAGATTGATGGTCTTTGTAATATTGGACTATTGTTTTGATAACTAGTTACAGCTGTTTGTATTCAAACAGTTGGGTAGGGACAATATTTTAAAGCTGACTGTTGTAGCAAGTACATCACCACAGAAATGAAAAACAGTGCTTTTTTTGATTGCCTGAAATCCCAGTTTTTTAATAATACAATATAGTTCTTTAAATGAAACAGAAACTCCAGACCATGAAAGCCTCTGCAGGAATGGGTGGAGTGTGGAAGAAGAAGAGAGCAGTAAAGAGCACTTTTACTGCAAGGCTTCCTCTGTTCTCAGTAGGAAATTCACTACTCTCACAACTGCTTCCTCTGCTTTCCCTAAGATAACTTCCCAGTTTAAGCAGAGGCAGTCTGCATTTCATGCCAGCATCTGCAGGAAGAGTCAGGCTCTCTAACTTCATTATACAGTGGCTCTAGAAATGAACAGCAGAAACAACACAAATATTCTGGGAATCAATAAGCCCATTCTTGGCTTGCTAGTCATAAACCTAAAAACTGCCAAGAGACATGTAGACACACAGATATGTTGGCTGCAAAGTATTGCTGGCTATCTCTGCTTTTCAAAAACAGTTTGAATTAATTAAAAAAACAAAAAACAAAAACAGAAGATAAAAATAACCCTTATAAGAAAACAAATCATCCCACCTTTGTACCATGTTTCCACTAGCTCAGAGCCATTTCCACCCAAGGGAGTGACTCAGAAACTAGACTATTGCTACATGCAACTGTATGTAATAATTTTCATGTGCTCTTTGCTCAGTCCCCTCTGCTTACCAACAAAAGACCTTTCGGCTTTTTCCTTCCCTGAACAGTTTGTAAAGTGATTGCTGGAAAGAAAAATTCTGGAAAGATTTAATGGGATAAGAGTGATGCAACATGCAGTGCTGTTAGCAAAAGTACCAAACATGTGAGGGCCATGAAGCCACGTGGTTTTCATTTGGGATGTGTGGGGTGAACACAGATGTTTGCTTCCTTTATAACATAAGCACAACAAAGGAAGACTTTGTTTGAAAGCCAAGGGGCAGGCTCTCTGCACACTTAAAGGCTGAGTTATAACGTAATGGGAACTGTGAGTCATAGCTGTGGGGCCTCTTATCATGGGCACAAAAAATCCCCTCTGCTGCAGCAGAGCTTAGCTTTGGAGCAAAGAGCTTCCAGCACTGTATGGGAGACTGAAAGCATCTAGGACTAACAGCAAACACAGGGCTGAGCTAAGAACACGTGCTGGGGATGACTTACAATACAGATACGTCCTTTTCAGTTGATATTTCCTCTCGTAACTCCTTCAGAACCTGAGATCATAACCTGTGCTCATTCCAACAGCATCAAGCAGCGTTGGCTCAATGAGCTGGGATGGACATCATCCTAGCACCTTCATATTGGCTTTTGTATTTGGCTGCAAAGGAATGTGGCCTTGGTGCTTAATTTGAGCAGAGCTAGCTGTCCAGGTAGGACTGTAGCAGAGCTCTATGTCCTTAAGTTACCTGAATTACCAAGTAACTTATGTCATGGTGTGTCACAGTAAGGGAGGATCGGCTGATTAATTACAGCTACCCGAAGTACAGAGACCTATCTCAATCCTTGCCCCTCCTAGCCTGGGAGAAGACAAAAGTCTTTTTTGATTATCACTAGTGGCTTGCCATCTGCAGCTTAGGAGTGGCTGTACTACAGAAAATCCAAGTGCTCTTTCTCATATTTTCAACAGTTCTGAGGTATTTTGTTGCTAAATCTCCAGAGACAGTTAGAAATTTAACTCTCATCTGAAACGGGTGGCAGTCAGGTACCTGAACATTTGGGGACTAACGATTTAGGAGCTAAGCATTTTGAATCCAGATATAAACACAAACATATGCCTGTATCATGCAGATTACGTGTCTCAGTTTATGCTTGAGAGCATCTCCTTAGCTCCACTTCTAGTATTTATCAACATTCTCCAAGAGCTTAGGGATAGAAAAATAGAGATAAAAGAGTTCTGAAAAAGCAATACAGTCTCTCCTGCCTACACTCACCACCTACGCTACTTGGATGGTTTTTGGCAAGTCTGTTTTGCTCTGAAAAGCTTCCAGCAAATCTTCATCTTTGCATCACAAGACAGTCTAGACTGGGGCTTAACTACCTCTATCTGTAGGAATTTCTCCTTATCACTGTGTGCGCTTTCTCCAAAAAAAGGTGTAAGCCCTGCACGGGGTTCTGGCACATACAGATGCTATCTTGTCTTAAGGAGTTACTTCTCTTCCTGAAGACAGTGTGGGAACCTTTTGCTCTCACTCACCATAATGTTCTCCCTGTGCACCACCAAATCCTCTGTAATTCAGAAGAACTGAAAGCAAGTCACTCTGAAGTTGAGTTTCATTGTTTTCATTTGTTTTTGGCAGCAGACTGTGTCTTTTCAGTTGATGGCACCCACCATCCCTTGGGTGAACACAGAAAAAGATGCAGCAATAGTCACACAGGTGGCTCAACTGACTCCTTAGAACTAATATATCACTTCCTTACTCTGACTCCAAGAGATACCTTCTCTGTATTCTCTTCCCCCTGGTTTCGAAAATAAAGGAACAGTACATTTTCTTTTGCCAGGCAACTGAAGTAACCATATGAAATAGAGACTGTGTCTAAAAGGGCTGAAAGTCTGCAACAGCTGGCCTCAGTGGCTTTCCTCCTTGCCAACACCATGCTTAGTTTTTCTAAGCCACATGCATGGCAGTGGGGTGCATCAGATATTTGCCATGTAAATGCTGAAAAAGCATCTCTGCCCTGGAGCACATTTCGCTGATATAAATAACATGCTGGATCAACCAGAAAAACCTGCCTTAGGAAGAGGAATAATAATGAAACATGGTGAAGGGAAAAGAAAAAGAGAAAAAAACTCATTTACACACAGGCAGTGGCAATGAGCCAGCTCTCACAGCTTTGATCCAGGCTGGTTCAAGAGGCTAGCCAGGGAACTCTGCGAACTGAGCTTCACTAGAGCAGAGCAGCTGTCTGAACTGAGATGGGAAAAAGGGAATGAACACCACTTAGACTCAGCTCCAGTACAAATAAGAAAAGGAATTCTATCACAGGGAGTACGTGAAGTAACAGGTACTCAGAGCTGCAGCAGGACATTGTGACAGCCAGGACTGCTGCTCTGGTGGCTGCTGCTGTCACCAGCTCTGTTCCCTCCCTTCCCACCACTGTATCTCAAGTCACACTTGCAATGTCATACACCAGACTTCTGGGTTTCACTGGGCAGTTCTGCTTTCTGTGGGTTTCTCAGGGATTTTCATACAAGTATAATCTGGACCAGTAAAACTGTGCAATGCTGCCTTGTAAAAGCTGCTGTTTCACTTCAATCCAGCTGTCTCTGATGTCTGTCACCTCTGACAATCAGAAGGCATTCCAGGCCTTTCCCCCCAGCTCTGACACCTGTAAGAGGGGGTGGATCTACAGTTCACCCTGTATCTTTGTAAGATTCTCCTGCATAGCAGTAGCAGCTATCAGCAAAGCATGTACCTCTTAGTTCCTGCCTGCCTTCCCCTCTGAATAGACACCTATGATACCAAACAACTAGATAAGAGGAATTTTACACTGAATGCCAGAAGGAAGAGCTGCTTAACACTGAACTTCCAAACTGAAGCCATTTACCAATGGAACCTTCTCAGTACTGCTACATCAGGTAGTCTTTGTCTGATCCTTACTGCTGGAAACAACACATAGGTTACTAAATGATGAACCACACCACTTCCCTTAAAGCATTTCTCCTGCAAGATCTCCTAGCAAGAGCCCATCAAGAGACTCTCCCAAATTATGTGAATGCTGGAAAGAATAATAACCTCTGGAGCACTTACCTGCTACACAATTTTGCAGGTGCTCGTTAAAGTTCACATTACTATGATCACGACAATGCAGAGAAGACTCTGTTCAGTCACTCACTGCTAAAGCACAGCCAGGAAGTCTGCAAAACACAAAGAGAATGAATGAGGAAGTTCAGACAGAAGATGGGTACATAATGCAGTTAACTAAATTAGGGATTGATTAAAATAGTTAACTCCCCCCCTCCTTACCCAGTAAAATGATTACAGAAGCTCAAGTCCTGAAATAATCAGCTTTGAAGCTACCAGGAAGGAGTTAAAACTCCTCCCATGAGAAAAGGTGAGAATGGCACCGTGGGTCTGTCAGCGTTGCAGACACATGGGCAGACAAGAACCTCCCTCCTCCGACTCCATCCTCACCGACCGGCTCTCTCCTTTAAAATGGATTAGGGTCGAATTAGCAGCTGCATAAGTGTAAGGGCTGGGACGGCTCTGTCTGGGATTGGTCTGTCTCAGAAAAGTCATTCAGCTGCTGTAAGCAGCTTGCGAGGTAGAAATACTTGCTAGGGGAGCTGGGTTCAGAGAGCTAATGTGAGAAACAGAAAATGAAGGAGAAGATGCAGGAAACAGTCTGAGACCGTGCAGGAAGATACGAAGTGCAGAACCACAAGATAAACTACCATATTTTGGGAGGAGAATCTATGAAATTTTACATGCAACAGGAAATGAAGTGTCCTCAAACAGAAGCAGTTGATTGGCGCAACAAACAGAGGTCACCCAGCTGTGCACAGGCAGCCAGAGAACAGGCAGCACCTCCCTCCTGCCCAGCTGCCATCACAGCCACTTCAAACCTCTGATCCAAAGCCTGGTGAAAGCAGCAGCTTGTCCGTGCGCTGAGCTTTGGAGCTGGGTCTTTGGAGGGCTTAGTGTTGAGCTGATGCACCCTTGCTGTCCTGAATTGCTTCACACTGGCAGCTCTTGGGTCAGGGTTGATCAACTCTCCCTCCTCCATCTACCTGCTCTGAGCAGATCATCTGCATTCTCACTTCTCCATTTCCATCTTGAACTCTGAGACCAAATTGGACAAACAGGCTCAGCTCTGACTTCCTGTGCCTCTGCACCACAACACTACTGAGGCTGCTGAGCCAGAAGCCAGGCAATCCAACCCCAGAAGGGCTGAATCCACACTGTAATATTGCAGTGGCTGTTTGTGAGCCCTCCAGGCCTGCAAAGCCAGGTCTGTGGTGGCTCAAAGCCAGTTGGGTACAGCAAGAAATTCTGCTGGGAGGGAAAAACTGAGGAGTGCTGTGCTGCTGGACAGGAAGAAGAGCAGGAAAATGATGCTAAGAGGCCAGATGAACCCAGCTCCAAGGCTCACATTCAAGACTAGCTCAGCCAGCCTTGTATGACCCACACGTGTGGAAACCAAAACAAGCTAAAAAAAGAAACCTGTCATAACTGCACTCCTGGGCTGGCTCTCCATCCCTCAGCGTGCTCAGATCTTGGCTACCTGCCTCCTTTCTTCTTCCTCCTGCTGAGGGGTGAATGGGCAGAACGCTTTGCTTACACAGCTGAGCATCCCTGCTAAACCTGGATTTCATGGCTTGGGTACATGGCACTCCTGGCCAAGCTCCCTCCCTGCCTACAGCTGCACAGCCAGCCTCTACCTCTCTCCCCCACCCAGCAATTATGTGTCAGGATGGAAAGTACATGCTCTGGCAGCAAAGCTGCTTTTTCTCAGCATAAGTGGATTATAATCGCCCATGGGAGAGAAGGAGCTGGCCCACCCAACAGCCTACTTTAAAGGGGATCTAAGCTTTTTTTTTTTCCCCCAGCTCTTTTCTCCGTTGCACTATTGCTATGGATTATAATTGCAATTCTGTGGAGCAAGGAGTGCAGCATAGGACAGCATGGGGCAGCAGAGAGACTTGAGCAGGCTCCTCATGGAGTTCATAGAATTTCTCAATGCTTCCCAGAACAATACTTCTCTGAATGTTCACCTTGTTCACAGGGGCTGAATTTAGCTTGAAAGTTGACGTGAGAAATCTTGTTTAAGAAAGGATGAAGTTGTGTAAGGAGGGAGCAATAAAGCTTGAGAACTAAACCACCCTTTTTGCTGATATACTCAATGCATTCAGGGAACTGACTTTTATATTGTGGTGTACTTTTTTCCCCCAGTAGTTCTCAGTAAGCATATCACAGAATCACAGAATGGCCAGGGTTGGAAGGACCTCAAGGATCATGAATCTCCAACCCCCCTGCCACATGCAGGGCCACCAACCTCCTCATTTAATGCTACACCAGGCTGCCCAGGGCCCCATCCAATCCGGCCTTGAACACTTCCAGGGACGGGGCATCCACAACCTCTCTGGGCAGCCTGTTCCAGCACCTCACCACTCTCTCAGTAAAGAACTTCCCCCTGACGTCCAACCTAAATCTCCCCTCCCTCAACTTCAAACCATTTCCCCTTGTCCTGCAGTTATCTACCCTTTGAAAGAGTTGATTCCCCTCCCCTCTGTAGGCTCCCTTTAGGTATTGAAATGCTGCATGCTTCCTTCTATCACTCTATTTGAATGAACTTTTTTTGCAGGCAAGCCCCAAGATACTGAGCCAACATTCAACAAGTAGCCTATTGCAGAAGCCTGACTAAAACTGTCCTTATGAAAACCACAGTTTTTGCATAATATACAAACTCAGAAATGAGCTAGATCAGCATGCTGAACATCAGTTTCCATGGGTCAGATTTCTTCTCTCTGTTACTCATCGCCACGTAAGGAGGGTTGCAAGCACAGACATACCTTAGAGGCTGCAGAGGCACATAGGAGCCCTTACTGTCAAGGAGAGAACCAACACAGCATGAAATGGGAGCATGACAGAATTCGGAATTACTGACTGTCATTTGGCCTGAAGCAATCACTCAGGAAGAGCAAAACGCCTCTGCTTCTGACCAGACTTCTTCAGTCTGATTTGTACGGAAGGGGAAAAAAGTTTTTTCTTTGTATATTGTAATGCTCCAAGCAACAAAAAGAGGAAGACAGGCAGGGAGGGGTTGCTGTTGAGCTCTGTGTAAACAAGGATGGCTCCCTGGGCAGGCACAGGTACCCAGCTTCCCTTGTGCATGCTGCTGGTGCAAACACCTAATGCTTATATGTGCGTACCCAAATCATGCAGCAAACACAGAATCATCCACCAGCAGGGAGCTGAGTCCTCAGAGCTTCATTACTACTGACATTGGCTCTTTGATCTCTTACTACTTCTGTGGCAATCACACTTAACATATTTTTCTCACATGGGAGCAGTATGAAGCATCTATTGTGCTAAAAACAAGGCTTTCCAGTTTCCATGCCTAATTTTCATTCTCTGCTTTTCCCCAAGGACTGAAAAAAAACCCTTACAAATGTATTAAGGAGAACTGGGAGCACTAGGCTTTGAAACTAGATGAAGGTAAACTATGTTTTAGTCTATGAAGGTAAACTGAGTAACTTCAGTCGGAACTGTAAAAGAACATTATTATCTCCACCAAAGCATACTCAGAGCCTCACAAAAGCAGCCATGCTTTTGTAATCCCGTCCCAGCACTCCCTGCCTGGTCCTTGCTTGGCAGTTCACACCAAACAGCTGTGCCCAAAGGAGATGCACTGGGTATGGTTTAGGCCTATAGCACTCATTAAAACCATTGTTAATAGAAATGTTCTCTTGAAGACAACCCTGGTGCTCATTTTGCCTGGCCATGTAACAGACTCCAATAGCAACATACCCTATTTTCAGAAGAATTTAACATGACAGATCCTAAGAGAACTCCTCCATAGCATTATAGAATCATCAAGGTTGGAAAAAATCTCAAAGACCATTGAATTCAACTACTGATCCACCCCTACTGCACCCACTAACCGTGTCCCTCAGTGTTTTTTGAGAACTTCCAGGGATGGTGACTCCCTGGGCAGGCTGTGCCAGTGCCTCACCACTCTCTGAGAAGAAAATTTTCATAATATCGAACCTGAACCACCTTGTGCAACTTATTACCCCTCATCCTGTGGCAGGTCGCTCCCTTCACTGCAAGCTAAAGATGTAGAGGCTACAAAAGCTATGGCTCTTTGAGTCAGTTTTATGGCCCAGGACCTCCAATACCCCAGTCTGTCCTGCTCCATCAGAGCTACAAATACCAACCGAACATCTTCAAAAGAAATACATGTGCACAGGAACAGCAGCTTAGACAAAACATTGCTCCATCTCTCTGTGCCTATCAGAGAGGGATATGGTATCTCAGACGAAAGGCAGAAAAGTTTTTTAACACGATGAACCACTCCCAAGCCATGTCACACGGATCACAAAGTGCAGTGCTGCATCTTGCACGTACTGATCACACCAGAGACCACCGCGGCACGAGGTCCCACTTCTGCTGGTACCACCAAGCAGAGGTGGCCGTGAGGTCTCTGTTTCACAGCCCTGCCCTGCTGCAGGCAGCCCCAGAGCCGTCTGCCGCTGCTCCAGCCCGGAGAGCCGGGTTGTCACATCGCATCCCGGGGAAAACCTGCCCCGGGGGCCTGATCCTTCCCGATGCCCGCAGAGCGAGCACCGAGAGCACTTTCAACAAACGACTTACCCCACGAAGAGACAGGAGAAACCCCACCAACACGCCACTGCTCTTTCAGCAGCTTTTCTCCCCAAAGCAACACAGGCAAAACGCCCTTCCTGTGCGGAGCAACCCCGTTTCCTTCGTTTCCCCCTCCGGCTCCCAGCACCGGGCCCGCTGCCCTCAGCCCCGCACACTCACCGAACCGTGCCAGGGCAGCCCTCGCCGTGCCCCGCGGCCGTTCCCCGCTCGCTGAGGTGCGTTGCGGTGCAGGGGGACCCGCCCAGCCTGTCCGGAGCGGGTTTTCTTTCTCTCTTTTTTTTTTTTTTTTTTTTTTCCCCTCCTTCCCCTCGTTCAAGGCAGCCCTGCCAGCCCTAGGAGCCGCGCCGTCCTCCCGCAAAGCCACACTTTGCTCCCTGAGCTCCCCGCCGGTTCTCGAATGGTTTTGTGCTGAGGGCACCGGGGACGGAAAGGAAATGTGTTCATTTTGCTTCTCGGATGTGTTGTGACCTCCTGGTGGTCGCGCCGGGTGTGCAGAGCGGCGACCTCGCTTCCTCCCGGCTCTGACGGAGCGGAACGAGAGGATCGTGGGGCTGCTGTGTTGTCGGCACGGCTCAAAGCTGGCACAAATAGGACATCGTGCATCTGTCTGCCCGAAGTGCTACCTTGGAGGGGTGGGGAGCTGGGGAACAGCCCCCTTCATTTAGCCAATAACAGAGAAAGGCCACCGTCACGGATTTTAAGAAGGTGGTTTCCAGCACTACCCCGCTAAAGCACTGCTGTGCTTAAATGGCTCCTTACAGACCTAGCGAGTTTGCTCAACTCCTATCACAGCCCAAGGGAAACAGGTTTGAGCAACAGCGCTTAGTAACGCCTGTCTGAGTTGTGGGAACTTTACCGTACCCTTCCTCTTCCCACAGCATTGCAGTGACTCTTACATTGGGACGGTTGTTGCCTGTTCTCCTGCACTGCTGCCTCGATTTTCTAAGCTCAGTTGGCAGAAGGGCTGCATGTAGTGGGAGTCACTGTTGCCTCTGCATATCAAATGCAAGGCACAGCTTTGTACAGAAGGCAGCTGCTTTCCAAGTTGTAACAGGCTGTTAAGTTGGCTTCTTTGAGTTTCCTGAAGTCCTTGCAGAACTAATGAACAGTTCTAATGTTATTCAAAGGGTTTGTGTTTGTAAATTTGTGTGGATGGTTATGGTTTCCTCAGTATCTGAATCAAATTTATTCAAGTCTGTTTGCAACCCGGGTGTTGGTAGCACATTCCTTTCCCATTATGCTATGCTGTAAGAAAATCATCTCTCACAGGAGCAGTGTAGCATCTTCCCACTTTTGCTGCAGGACCTGGCCTGTCTCAGAGCAGCATTTATTTCCCCTGGGAACTATGCAGCAGCAGCAGGAGAGAAAGCAGATCCTGCTCCAAGATTGCAAATATCTATCACCTAAGCCAAGAGAAAACATCTATTAAATACCACCTGCAGAAAGCCTGATAAGATAGTAATTACCAATTCTGACCACACATGTGTGTGTATATATATATGTATAACATACATTGAACATACAAATCACTATAGGTTGGAGGGCTGTGATTTATATTCATCTAAATTTTCCTGGGATATAACAGATGAGCAATGCACTAGAGATTTAAACACTTTTTGCACTAGATTGCATGCACCAGATTTAAACACTTTTTAAAAAGGAAGACTCACATCTTGTAGCAGAAATGCTGTCACAGCTTGAAGCAGTTACTGAGCACCTGGTGGGAGGGCAGGGCCAACCCAGGGGAGCACAGGTGCAAGCAACAGGTGCAAGCAATGACTGGAACTGGTGGAGTCAGGATCCGACCCTTCACAGACCTCATTTAAGGGTTGGCAGTAGAGGGTATCTTGCTGGAGATCCCTGCTTACTGGTGGCTTTCCTAGAGTAAGTAGCTTTTTATTATTTGTGTTGTATTGAGTGTATCTTCACTTGCTGTAGCCTAGGACTTTGCTTTTCTGCTATTGTTACTGTGCTTTCTGTCACATTATAGCACTGTGTATCTCAACAGATGCTGTTACATGTTCATCATCCTATTCGGGGTCTCCTTTCTGTTTCTAAGGTGGTGAAGATTATGGTAATGTTAGACATGTAAATAGAAAAGTCAAACCAAGATATACTAATTTTATTTTATTTTATTTATTTATTTATTTTATAAGTACAACTTAACAGTTCAGAAGAGGCTGGAAAGGTGGAATTGTATCTCCTGACAACTCCAGTATGTGATTCATTGTTAGGCTATTGTTGCACCACAAAAGGCTGAAGATCATTATCTTGCTGAATGTAGTAATTTATTTGATAATGAGCCAAGCTCTGTTAGCCTTACTCAGATGTTGGGCAGGACCTGAAGCTGTGAGCTATGGAGTAACAGTGCTGCAGCACACTGGGAGGTAGCCTGTGACTCTGTTACATGGATCCTACTGCAGCAGAAATTAAATGTAATAATTCTATTGCTCCAGTAGGCACTAAGATCTTATTAGCAGGAGTAGAACAAAAGTGAAGTTTGAGTTGAGTGTTAAGCTCTAGATCGTTTTTCCTCTTGCTTTTGGACATATCAGAACAACATAATTCTTCCCTCTATCTTCTTTCCATTAGTATTTTTAATCTGTTAGAAAACAAATGCTATTTCTTCAAACTGTTACAAGAAATAAATAAAAAATGAAGTTCTTGCAAGGTCTGTAAGGAGAGACTAGGGACATGACAGAGAGCTGTGTGTAGGCAGCAGTGAAACAGGCTTTAGTACAGCTTCCAGATGTCACCTTCATAAGTAGCAGAGGATATCGAGCTGCCTGCAGGGAGCACACACAGGAGTTCACTTTCTTGCAGGTCAAGCAGGAAGGAGGTTCATTCTCAAGTGATGTTGCTATGGCTGTACTTTTTATACTGCACGTGACTGCGTAAGCTTGCAGGAGACTGCATCAGGATGGGATTCTAGGAGGCATAGTGTTTTTTGAAGGCACAGCTTGGTGTGCCCCAGCAGAGCATGAACAGCCCAAGGGGAGAAAGGATCAGGGAATTCCCTTCTACCTGTGAATGTTTCACAGCTTCCAGCTCCCATGCAAGGAAATGCACAGGGAGGTGGGGGTCACCCTCTCGCAGTTTGCCAGATGGTGTCCTCATCTTACATATGACCTTATAAACACCTTTAATCTCTGCAACTCCTGTAGTTCTTCTTAAGTATTATGAGAGGAGGGTGTTTAATAGCCTCTTTCTCCCAGAGGACTCAGCTCTCAAGTGGTGAGAGATGCCAGATAAGCTGTCAGTTAGGGGAAGATTTGGTGATTGAGAGCTAAAAGATTGAAAAATGAAATATGAGTAAGGGGTTCAGGAGTCAAAGATAAAGATGTGAATTCTGCTGTTAGAACAGAAAGGCTGTTGGAAAGCACAGTGGGTGGAGCTGGTTCTGCTAATGAGCACATTGTGAATCTAGACGTATTTCAAACTTTCTTTAAATGAACGCAAATACTCATGATCATGAACCAAGGCAGCAGAGTGCTGCTTTCCTTCAAGGCCGTGGGAGATCTGCTGGGTTTGGCTCTGAAAAGGGCAGAGGATAAAGAATTTCTAATAGGTGTGAAAGACCATCATAATCCTTGTTACAAAACTGGGTAGAAAACCTAGGATAGGAAACTGTTCTGCTGTTTCAGATAGTGCTGGGGAAGGGTGAGATCAGCATGGATCCAGGATTATTGACCTAATTTCTGTTGCTTTCCATCACTTTAATCCATTTTATTTTTTAAAGTAGAGCATGTAATTGCACATTATACACAGCGCACTTGTCAGCTTCAGCTTGTCTCAGAGCTAACCAAACTCTTTATTAGGCGTATTTCTATTGATCAAAACATTTCCATTATTTAACTTTTTAGGAAAATGGTAATGAGATGTATGGTATGTTTCTGCCTCTTGAGATCGTTGGCTCAACTTCAGTGCCAAACACAATCAAGGGTTGCTGCTATTTGTGATTTGCTGCATGATCTTTATGAGCAAGTAGGGAGCTTCAATCCAATTTATCAGAACAAGTGTTCACATTATAGAACTATCATTTAATTTAAAAATAATAAGGGAGGATTTTGGAAAGAGTAAAGTAAAAAAATCAGCTGGATAATTAAGTAATCAAGAACTTCTTAGCATCTCTCTGTGACTGGAGAGATTTTTTGTACATTCTTATTCCTTTTAATACTGCCAAACTGATTTAACTCAGAGGAGGCAAACTGGATTTTAGGGCACATCCCAACCAGATCATCAGCCCGCTGACAGCATCTGCAGTGTCACTGCTGCTGGAGACCATAAGATTGCAATTGATTTCTCTGGCAATATGAAAATCACAATACTTGCATGCAAAGAACTTATATTAAAAACATTACCTACATACGTAAAAACTGATATTTAAAATATTTTACTATAAGCAAATGGTAGACAAATTTTGCTTTCCTTACTGTTGAATCCCTATTGATTCTATTATCTGGGTAAAATGAACGAAGGTTTATTCATGGGTGAGGTCCAAACTTTTTATATACGTTTACACCATGATGTCTCCTCGTGATAGTTATTATTCGGTACATGTTTCCAAAACAGAACGTGTCCAGGCTGAAAATAGCTATTGTTAGGGGGCAGTTCCACAGAGCACTGTGGTGGTGCAGTGCCACCCAGTGATTGTCTGTCTTACTACAGGATGGTGTAAAAAAAATGCGTTTCCTACCCTAGTGTTGGATTTTCCTTTATTGCTACTTTGAATCCGAAGTTATAATCATGTATACAAAAGGTTCATCTTGCACCGTTCAGAAGACGTGTGCTGTCCTGGCCCCTGCCCCAAATTGCTTACATCCTCCTGGATGTTATGATGAGATTTTACTCTAGTTATTTATATCTCTGCAGTAGACCATAAATCCTTACATTCAGCAAGTGATGGCTTATCATTTTCATGCCGCTGTGGTATAAAACATGCATTAAATTAACTGCCGGAGGGTTGTGGCCTCAAATAAATCAGTATGCAAGTATTTAAACTGCTAGCATCCCCTTCTGTTTCCGCAGAAACATGTATGTGTTGCTAACACAGACTCTTCTATGAGGCTGGTGAAACAGGTGAATCTGCTTTTTATCAGAAGATACTGATGGCTTCTGAATTAAGTCAGATATTCAAGGAACTACTTAACTATCCTTTCAGCTGAAGCTTCCTGGGTCCATCTTGTCCCTGCTGGTAATGAAACTACGATTTATTACAGTATAGTAGCACTATACTATATTAAATATTAAATATACTATATTAAATATAGTATAGTAGGGGATTATTTCTCCTGTGGTAGAGGAGTCTTTTAGGTCTTGCTAGCAGAATGGTTTTCATAGAACTCAGAACATTGGTTTATTCTACAAGGAAGAGTTTAAAAAGTCATCCCTCTTGAAGAGTCTAGAGCTTTGCTGCAATATGCGAGTATGTCACTCATAGCCATGACAGTCACAGCACTCTTGCAGGATGGCAGCTGTGGCTGTTTACATTTTACTAAGAAATATAAAGCACAGGGGATGCTGAGCAGCTGGTTCTAAGCTATAGGAAGTTATGGTAAACCCAAATATCCTCAAATGTCTGTCTAGCTCCTTGATCATGAACCTGTTGATGTGTTTTGTAGTTTGTTGTTTGTTTGTTTTTTTTTTTTTTGCAGAATTAATTCTTAGTGAATAATGAGATTTTGTCCCAGATTTGTTTTCTGTTTGCATGTAAATCTGAGTGTTTTAACTCATGGTAGTTGTCTAATTAAAAACAAGCTTCAGCACAAACTATCATAGTCTCCTGATGTGATCACCCTATTACATCTGTAGAGGTGCAGCAATTGTGGGGATGAACTTGTCAAATTGGAATGAATTTAGCTCAAGGGGCACTTGTTATGAAGATCAGCCTATAAAGTTGCCATCAGCAAGTCTCACAGTGCACCATGGCTTTACAAAACAGAAGGCCAGGAGGATACCTCAATATATGGCTGTATTTTTGGATGCTGTTATTCACAATCACAAACATAACCTAAAATAGGAAGGTGAATGTGTTAGTTCATAAGTTTCCATTCTTGTTTTTGTAACACAGTAAGAAAAGGTATCATAAAATCCAGCTTGTACACTTTTATACTGTATAAACTCTGTTTTAACTCATCCTTCAGCAGCCTTTTGCAACGAAGCAAAAAAATGTCTTCTGGTATTTCCTCACATGTGCGGTTGTCTTGTTGATTAAAGGTCTAAACATTTGATTTTTGACAATTCAAAATCTTGGAATCAAGGAATTATCATGATCACCTCCCTGGTGCTTTTGTTACATAGGAAGCATCACCGCAAAGGAAAATGAAGAAAGAGTGCAAATAAAAGAGGTACTTTTATTTATTAGTTTACTATGAGAAGTGTGCTTTGATATGACTGAAACTCTTTCAGCAAATATAATGTTTTGTAATTAAGTCAGATGTATACAAAATACATTATAAAACACTCATTATTCTCTAGTCCTAATGGTAACATCAGACCATTTCAAAGCCTCCTTTTGAAATTATGCATTTTGCCATGCAATCAGTAAAATGAAGTGCTGCAATTCAGGCTTCATTAAACCAGGCAGAATTTTCTGTTGTTGCTATTAGCTTGATGTGGAGCTCAAAGGTTGTACGTGGTGTCC